AAAAAAAAAAAAAGTCCAAAGGCAGACCTGTGCTCAACAACCAGCTGAGCAGTTGGAGCTGCCCGACCGCGGGAAGGCCTGACCATGCCGACTTCAGACTTGGGGCCAAGTCCCCTGCTGGGCTGCTCCAGTCTCTGTGGCTTTAAACGCTGTTCCAAATGCCCAGATGTGCCCTCCCACTCTCCCAACTCACATGTCCAACTGCTCACCTACCATCTCCTCCAGGATGTCTAATATAAGACGTCCCAAACTGAACTCCCAAATACTCCATCCATGTGGCCCTGGCACCCCTGAACATCCAATCATTAACCGACCCTATGGGCTCCGCTCCAAACACACTAGAATCCACCCACGTCTCATAACGCTGTTTGCTCCATGCAGTCATCACTCGCCTGGACCACAGCCGACGCCTCCACCCTGCACACCCTTCATCTGCCCTTGACCCCACAGTCTGTCTCCTGACAGTGCCTGGATCACTTTATAACTCCCCTGTTAAAAAAGTTTTTAATTTTTTAAATGTTTATTTATTTCTGAGAGAGAGAGAGGAGAGCGAGAGAGCGAGACAGAGCATGAGTGGGGGAGGGCGGAGAGAGAGAGGGAGACACAGAATCCAAAACAGGCTCCAGGCTCTGAGCTGTCGGCACAGAGCCCAACTTGGGGCTCAAACTTGGGAACAGCGAGATCGTGACCTGAGCTAAAGTTGGACGCTCAACCCACTGAGGCATGCAGGGCCCCCCACCGATTTAAAACTCTTTAATGGCTTCAATGTTTGTGTTCCACCCCAAAATGCAGATGTTGAAACCTCCCCCTCAGTGGGATGGTAGGGGGAGGTGGGGCCTCGGGGAGGGGATTAGGTCACGAGGGTGGAGCCCTTGTGAGTGAGATTAGTGCCCCTACAAGAGAGGCCCAGAGAGTTCCCTCACCCTTTCCGCCATGTGAGGGCAGTGAAAAGACAGCCATCTATGAAGCAGGAGGAAGGCCCGCACTGGACCGAAAATCTGCTGGTGCCTTGATCTTGGACTTCCCAGCCTTCAGAATTGTGAGAAATAAACCTGTGTCGCTTATACGCCACCCAGGCTAGGGTGTTCTGTGAAGGCAGCGCCCGTGGACAGAGGTGGCTTCCAAATACCATCTGTAGGAGGCAGCCCCCTCCCTGGCCCAGATAACTCGAGGCCAAAATTGCCTGTCAGTCGGCACAACTTGTACATGTTCTCCTTTCACAAGGCCTGGGCAGGTGCAGTTAGGCATCCAAATCTGCCTCACAGGGATGCACCCAGCAGCTCAGCCCGGGCCTCAGCACATCATTGGATCTCCGCTCCAGGAGAGGTGAGGAAACCAAGCCTCAGTTACTACTATCACAAAGGGGAACTGTTACAACCCAGTGCAGGATCCCCTTGTCACACTCACAAGGGAGACTTACCTGATTCCAGGTAGCGAAGTTGACTTTATCCGCTGCATTGAAGGCCATGATGTTGTATTTTTTAGTTGTGTTTCTGGAACGGACAAGAAGGGGCAGTGCTCAGTTACTCGTTCATTCAGCAAACCCTCCCGGGCTCAGCAGTGCTGGGGACCCACCAAAGACCCCAGGGGTTCCCAGTCTGTCAGGGAACAGATCCATGCCCTCCCAACCCCGTGCGGAAGAAAAGCAGAAGGAGGCACAGAGATCTGGGGGAACCAACATGTGGGAATAATAAGGCAGTCTGCCCTGGGGATGGGGGAGGGCAGGCAGGGAATGCTTCCTGGGGGGGGAAAGTCCTGGAACTGGGTTTTAGGGAACCAACAAGAATCCACCCCACAGAGTCACAAGCGGGGAAGAGGCATTCCTGCCAGAGGGAATGCTAGGCCAGAAGGCTGCATCCTGCCGCCTATTGAAGCACTCATTCATTCGTTCTGCTCCAAACACACTGATGCCCCCAGAGAGGCCTCGGCTGAACTCCAGCCCCGTCATCAGGTCCCCCTGCTCGTCAGAGCGAGAAGCACAGGCGGTGCCAGCCATGTCTACGAGGTCAGGGAGGTATAGAACCCCTTTCGGAGGAAGTGGGAAGAGGGGTCAGGGACTTACTTGGGAACGCGAACGACATACTCGGTGACGTTCTGGCTGCCGGGGCCCTGCGGGCAGAGAAGGCGGGACGGTGAGTGCGGGGCTGCGGAGGCCGCCGCAGGGACCCCCCAACTCCGCCGCATACTCACGAGGGCCGCCATGGGCGACGACGTTCGGTGGTTCGGGTCCGGTCCGGTCCGCGTCCCTCAGTCGCGGGGAAGCCGCTCTCGCGGTGCCGGGTCTCTGGCCCCGACCGAGGACCCCAAGGCCGAGGTGCCACCGATCCTGGGAGCAACTACCGGGAAGCCGTGCTCGCTCGGCCGGCTCGGCGACCACTCCGGTCACGTCTGCGCCTGCGCCTAACCTGGAAGAGAAACTCGGGGTGCGTCGCGATGGCAACCTCCTCCGCGTCACGTATTTCCCCTCGACTCTTCCTAGAGGGAGGAGCCACGACCGACCCGCAGCTGGAGAAAGCGCAGTCTACCGCCCGGACCCGCGCTCGCGGCTCTATATAGCGCTGTTAATTTAATCGGCCCGGTGGACACGCCTCCCCGTGACGACACACTCCGCGGGGCATCCTGGGAGGGGAGGGAGGAACTGGCCTTCCTCGCGATCTCTCGCGCACCTCGCGCATGCGCCACTCCGCTCCGGAAGTGCGCCCAAGGAGGCCGCGTCACCATAGCGACCGAGGTCTCTTTTGCGGCTAGCTGCCACCGCTCCACCTGAGCCTCTTTAGGGTCATTTCCTCCTTCTGCCCCTGGGAGACCTCATCATCTCGCCAAACGATCGGGCCCTTGTGACGCTGAGCCGAGCCAGGAGGCGTCAGAGCCTGGGTGGGGGTGGGGCGCGACCACTCCACGGGCCGCTGGCGGGATGGGTCTGTGCAAGTCCAAGCTGCCCCACAAGGGCAGGGCCTTGAGATCCAGGAGAAGGGTAACATCGCGGGGGGCGAGGAGGGGCTGGATCACTGGGGGGAAGTAAGGAGGCTATGAAGGGCATGAGGGAGGTACATACAGGTGCCCCACACCCCAAGTTCAGGTGTGCGCACGACCCCCACCCACCCGTGGTGGTAACACAACCGCACATGCTCAAGGATCAGCCCTTCTTTGATCCACTTAAGCACCTGCTGTGCCAGGTTCTGGGCACTCCACGGTGAATGTGTCAAACTAGCTCCCTGGCCTCCTGGAGATTACAGCGTAGTGAAGGAGGCGGTCTCAGAAAATGGGATCTACGAGCAGGAGGGGACAGGGCTGCCACAGGGAAAGAGGCGCCCGCTCTGAGGGCTCCGGGAAGAGGGGAGGTTTATGCTCCGCCCCGTGGAATGCCTAGGAATTCGCTAAGCAAAGGCGGAAGGAAGCAAGACAGCAAAGTTGCGCTATAAACTACCACACTCCACAGACATGCCTGGTAGCCATGGGCGTGCATTTACTCATCGCCCACTACTGTATGTCAGGAACCGTGCCAACTATTAGAAATATTGGGACCAACAAGACAGAAACAGTCCTTGCCCTCATGGAGTAGAGTCTGGCTGGGGAGAGAAGCAAGAGCAAGTAAACAGGCGAAATCGTTACCAATCGTGGCTGTTGCTGTGGAAGAAATGGGGCTCTGAGATGGAACGATGGGGTGGGAGGCTCTTAGAGAGAGTCTGACGGGTCGGCTGTGACCTGAAGGAAGAGGAGCAGGGACTTACTGCAGCAGGGAGGAGGCGGGGCACAGGACAGCAGGAGAAGGATAAGTTTGGCAAGTTCAAGGGACAGAAGAGGCCCCTGGGGCTGGACCAGGGTGAAGGATGAGGAGGGTGGTGTGGGATAAGTCTGGG